TTTTAAGAAGTATACTCCCAGAAATATTGGATACGTATATCTTAGTGATGATCAACTGTGTGCTATTATAAGCAAAGGTGTGGTAAAAATTAAGTTGAACGGGTTAGTATGAGAGCTGAAGGATGTCAGGCATATTCCCGATCTAAGAAAGAACTTAATATTCGTAGGCTAGTTGGCTGGCGAAGGATACACTACGACCTTTCATGGAGATGATTGGAAGATCTCAAAGGGTGCAATGACGATTGCCCGAGGCAAGAAGACCGGAACCCTGTATATGACAGCAGGTGCACGTTGTTTGATCTCAGTTGTAGTGGGCAATGAGACTTTAAAGCTGTGGCACTAGAGACTCGGCCATATGAGTGAGAAGGGGATGAAAATCATGCACACAAAGGGAAAACTCCCATGACTGCAGTCAGTGGAGATGGATATGTGTGAAGAATGCATACTTGGAAAGCAGAAGAGAGTCAGCTTTCAGACGAATGGCAGAAACCACAGGAAAGAGAAGCTAGAGCTCATTCACTCAGATGTTTGGGGACCAACCACCACCGCGTCCATTGGTGGGAAACACTACTTCGTGACTTTTATCGACGATCACTCTCGGAAAGTGTGAGTCTACTTTCTGAAGAATAAGTCAAAAGTATTTAAAGCTTTTAGGAGATGGAAAGTTATGGTCGAGAATGAGACCGGTCTGAGAATAAAGAAGCTCAGGACCGACAATGGCGGTGAGTATGAAGACAATGGATTCAAGAAGTTCTGCTATGAGCACGGGATCAGAATGGAGAGAACCGTGCCCGACACGCCTCAGCAAAATGGTGTAGCTGAGTGGATGAACCAAACGTTGACAGAGAGAGCTAGAAGCATTCGGGTACAGTCAGGCCTACCGAAGTAGTTCTGGGCAGAAGCGGTCAACATAGCAGTTTACTTGATCAACCGAGGTCCATCGGTTCCATTAGACCATAGAATACCAGAGGAGGTATGATGCGGAAAGGAGGTAAAACTCTCACATCTTAAAGTTTTTGGTTGTGTAGCTTACGTGCATATTAGTGATCAAGGTAGGAATAAGCTTGATCCCAAGTCAAAGAAATATACTTTCATCGGCTATGGTGAAGATGAGTTCGGCTACCGCATTTGGGACAATGAAAACAAGAAAGTGATCAGGAGCAGAGATGTGATATTCAACGAGAAGGTGATGTACAAGGACATGCACAAGACAGAGGACTCAGAGAGCGAGTTAATATTTATAGATGCAGATGATGTCCCGAGTAACCTCTCGGAAGAACCCAATGCAGAAGGTCCTCAGCCAGAAGAGCCTGTTAGACAAGATGGTGCGCAGGAGTCCGACGCACCAACTATGATATTAAGAAGATCTTCTCATCCTCCTATACCCAACAGGAGATATATGAACTATCTGTTGCTAACATATGGTGCGGAGCCTGAAAGCTATGATGAAGCTTGTCAGTGTGGAGATGCGAGCAAGTGGGAGCTTGCCATGAAAGATGAGATAAAGTCTCTCATATCGAAGACACTCCGCAACAAATGGGTGTACCGGGTGAAAGAGGAGCAGGATGGTTCCAGAAGATATAAAGCCCGGCTAGTTGTCAAAGGGTTCTAGCAGAAGAAAGGAATTAACTACACCGATATTTTTACTCCCGTGGTGAAGCTAAATACTATCAGGACAGTGATGAGTATTGTAGCAATTAAAGATCTTCATCTCGAGCAGTTAGACGTGAAGACGGCGTTTCTTCACGGAGATCTAGAAGAGGAGATATACATGCACCAGCCAGAAGGTTTCTCAGAAGAAAAGAAGAAGAACCTGGTGTGCAGACTCAAGAAGAGCTTGTATGGCCTGAAACAAGCCCCAAGACAGTGGTACAAGAAGTTTGACGGCTTCATGCACAAGGAAGGTTTCCAGAAGTGCAACGCCGACCACTGTTGCTACTTCAAAAGATATCAGTCCAGCTATATCATCCTACTGCTGTATGTTGATGATATGTTGGTTGCAGGAGCAGATATGAAAGATATCAAGAGTTTGAAGCAGCAGCTGTCAAAGGAGTTTGACATGAAGGACTTGGGTCCAGCGAAGAAGATCCTTGGAATGCAAATCACGAGAGATAAGAAGAGAGGTCTCTTGCAGTTATCTCAGACGGAGTACATCAACCGTGTTTTGCAGAGATTCAACATGGGCGACGCCAAGCCTGTGAGCACACATTTGGCCAACCATTTTCGTCTATCGAAGGATCAGTCTCCTCAGTCAGAAGAAGAGAAAGAGAGTATGGCTCAGGTTCCTTACGCCTCAGCTATCGGAAGTTTGATGTACGCAATGGTCTGTACGAGACCAGATATTGGCCATGCAGTGGGAGTGGTCAGCCGGTTTATGTCGAATCCAGGAAAAGCTCATTGGGAAGCGGTCAAGTGGATTCTGAGATATCTACGAGGCACCACACAGAAGTGTTTGCACTTTGGTAAGGGAGAGGTAGAAGTGCAAGGGTACGTAGATGCAGACTTCGGCGGTGGGATTCAATCAGGAGAAGAATGTTCTGCACAGCAATAGTCAGAGTGCGATTCACTTGGCTAAGAATTCCGTATTTTATTCTAGAACGAAGCATATTGCACTTCGGTACCACTTCATCAGATTCCTGTTGGAAGATGACGTGTTGAAACTGGAAAAGATTCCAGGAAGTAAGAATCCAGCAGACATGTTAACAAAGATGGTGACCGTTCAGAAACTGGAGTTGTGCGCAACTTCAGTTGGCCTTCATGCATAGATGATGAGGGCGGAGCCACACAGGAGAGGAGCTTGATGAGATAGCCTGTTGACGTCGGTTTGGTCTCCAAGTGGGAGATTGTTAGTTTGGGGATGGATACCAACCTCCGTCCGGCGAGGAGCTCCGACGAGCTCGAGGATAGTCGCAGGCGAGCTCAAGCCCCGCGAGCAAACGCCCCCCTGATCTCGGCGTTTTGGCGGTTCGACCCTAGCGTCTGGCGCTCCGACGCTCGTGTTTGGACGACACCGACCTCAGTGTTTGGG